ATCCCTGGGTGGACCTTGGGGGGCTGGGGGGGGGGGGCTGTTGGGTCAGTGGGGGAGCTGACCCCCTGTGGGAGCATTTGCTCTCACAGTTATTTCTCCCCATCCCTCACCATGCACCTCCACCCTCTTCATTTCAATTCCATACATTTAGGGTTGTTTGGGCTCGGGTGTGCTGCAACAATTTTACATCTTTGTTGACCATAGCCACCTGGGACTCAATTTTATTGTACACCTTAGACATTCATTCATAACATCGTCATGACATTCATATATAGGAATTTGAGGTGGGCACATGGCTATGGGTGGTGGGATGACCTTACTCTCACCCCCTGTGCCTGTGCTCACTTACAACGGTTGCATTTAGACACTAGGGTTTGGATAGAGTTGGGGTGGAGGGGAAACTGGCACCATGCCAGCCTTTGCTCCTTCTTCTTTCCTTTTTAATGGCACTATACAACAACACACATCAACAGCACATCTAGGGGTGGGGGTGTATGTGTCGGGGTCTTATTTTTAGTTATTTATTTATTTATTTATTTATTTTTTTTTCTCCTCTTCCTACCCACCTAGTTCCCTGACTGCCATTCCGGGGGTGGGGTCCGGGAGAAGGGCAGGCCGTCGGGTGTTGACCAGGATTATGTGGGGGTTCAGGGTCTGGGGGGTGCCATGGGCGGTGCTGGCGCTGTGCTCTCCCTGGGGTTGTTTGGACCCCCTGAGCTTGGCTCTTGGGTGCCATGGTTGGCCCGCTGGCCGGGGTGGCTGCCGGGGCCTGGCGGGTGGTCGGCTGGGGGTGCGTGCTTGGTTGTTGGCGGTGTGTGGGGGGGGTCGGTGGCGTGTCCTCTTCATGGGGGGGGGGGGTATCCTGTCGGCGGGGCATGGCCTGGGCCGGGTCTGGGGTATTGGCTCTTCTCCGCTCAAGAATGAATGGGTTTACCTCCTGGGTTTGGGCATGGGCTGCCCCCTGTAGAGGGCGGGTACATGTCTTGGACCTGGGGGGTATAGAGTGTGTATCGGGAATAAGAATGAAATGTATCGTTATTGTATGTCTTTGAGTGAATGAATGTGAGATTGAGGTTGGGATAGTGTGATTGTGTATGTGTATGAATGGGTATTTGTTAGGCCGAGACTCGGACTGCCCCCTCTTTGATACAACTGGGGGTGCTTGGCATCGCGCCCCTATCGCGCGGCCCCCTGGTGGGGTGTGCCCTTGCCTGCCGGCGCGCTTGGGGCCCTTGGTATCGGGGGCTGGGCGCTTGGGCGTGTGTCGGCTCGGCCTGGTGTCTGCCTGGTGGGGCTCGGGTCCTCTCGCCCTGTCGGGCCTTGGCCTGGGTGGTGTGAGTCCTCGGTGCCCGGGCCTCGGTGCCTGGACCTGGACCTACATCGGTGCGGCGGGTGCCGACGGAGGCCTATGAGTTTGTCGCTGTTGGCCCCGGGGGGTCACTGTATGTGGTTGCTGGTGGGGATCTTCCGGTTCTCCCCTGTGGTCCGTTCTGGGGGGTGGGTGAGTGGTTCGCCCTGTGTGGGTGGCTCTGGGGGCTCCGCGGTCGGGGTCCCTCCTGGGGTCTTGGGCTCTGGTCCCCCCTTTTTCGTCTGCCTCTGGTCTTGGGGGTCGGGTCTCTGCTGCTTCACAATTACTAATAAATGTTCTATTAGAGAAGCCTTATACACTTATGCATGCTCACAATCACACACAAATAGAAGCAGGGATGTTTATGTAGGCTTTATATGTAGATATATAGATATGTATATGAATGTATATTCATGTGTATGTATGTATGTATGTATGTATATAGGCGTAGGTATGGGTATATATATTTATTGAAACTTACTGCAAAGCCATGAATATTTTAAGTTCTTTATACATATGTATTTTGTTGCTGTGTTTTGTCATGTTCTTTGCAGGTGAACAGACAGTGGCCGGGTGTTTTGAAGTGTGCTCTATTTGTATATATTTCTTATATTTTGGAGTCTTACTTTGTCTTTTCTTTCTTTCTATCCTATTAAAAAAAAAAAAAAAAACCTACACTAGAATGTCACTATAATAAATATTTCATAATAATGGTGTGGAGAGGATGGCTGTAAGGGGAGAAGGGAGGCCATCACAAAAAAAAAAAAAAGAAAAAAAAAAAAGAAAGGACATGGACGTAGTTGGAGTGAGGACAGTGGATGCAGAGGACAGAGTGAAATAGAGGAGGATGATTCACTGTTGTGAACACTGAAGAGGGAAAAGCCGAACGAAGAAGTAAAAGTTTCAAGCAACACTTTTGCACAAGTAGCACTTGGAGTAATGAATGACTTTTAGTTACATAGCACAGTTTAGCTTAATATTGATCAAATTTACTACATATAACCATATGTTTTTATAATAAGTTGTCTGTGACAGCTGGCTTGAGTTGGGATTGCTCACAACTTAAATCAGTGTAGATGTGCATCTAATAAATGTTTCCTGAAAGTTTCATTAGAATTAGTCTAGTGGGTCAGCAGATGTTTTTGCACCAGACAAAGACAGACGGTAAAAGCAACAAAATAACAAAAACAATTTTGTGCCCTTTGACGGCAGGTGTTAGTGAATTTGGTCTCTCTTTTGTCCCTCGTCATGGAGCAAAGAAGGGGAATTAATTGGAAATACTGTTAGTCAGTCCATCCATTGTTGCGAGCATGATAACTTGGAAAAAAAGACCCACGTATTGACTTCCATTTTGGTTTTTTGCTGCATCTAGGTATTGAAAAGGTCCTTATCAAAAATGGGGTTACTATGTTAAAATCCAAGATGGCCACGATCACATATATGAACTGTCCAACCCACCTGTTTAAAAAAAAAAAAAACCCTACACTTTCTAGTTTTTATATCGCTTAAAAGTATAGTTTCCTCAAATGATTAAGGGTGGCCCCTGGGGTGGCCGAACAAGGCCACCATTGGCCACCCCATGGCTCCTCCATTGCACCTGGTAGTGGATAAAACTGCTCCCTCCACTCAACAGGATTCTTCACTCTGTGCCTGACAAGAAAAAAACACACACACACAAAAAAAAAAACACACACACACACACACTTGAATATCTTGCACCAGAATCATTTCCAGGTATATTTACTTGCATTCCCTGATCACTTCAAGTCCAGAAAAAAAAACATCTCTAACACTACAAAACATTCACTTCTCCAGCGACATCAGCTTGTTTCTACTTGTATTAGAAAAGTAAAACCTCAGTAAGCAGACATTTATTTTGTTTTACACAACATAAAATGTTTTAATTTTGAGCATTTGTGTTCCATATTAATAAATGAGCTCATCAACGCTTAGAAGTTTCGGAACTTTTCGGCATTTTCCGCCGCCTCCTCCTCTTCCATACATCGTGTGTACGCGCGCGCAGGAGGAGGGTGAACTAACGACGAGCGGATACAGTGGAATCACAACAGAAATGGACGGGTAAATATTAGTTTTTATATGAGTATTTGTACTATTTAAAGTCAGGGGAAGTCGTTGCATTTTATTCGACGGTCTCTGAGGTCCAAGGCTGAATGTGGACCGAATGAAATGAGGAATTTAGTGGAAGCTGAGGAAGAGTCGCGAGCTTGTGTTTCCATAGCCACGCGCTCTCCTCTCTGGGGGAAGCGCCTCCGTGTTAGCATCATGTTAGCATGCTAAGTGTTGTTTAGCTTCTCCTGGATGCTGTCAGAGCTTCAAGCCTGGAAAACTTTGCGAGGGGGAGACAATCCTCACAGTTTAGAGTTTGGAGCGGTTGTTGTTTTTGCAGAAAGTTGGTCGAAGCCTGTTTTTAGGTTGCACAACAAACTAAAGTTCATCCTTTTGTTCCGTGGCTAACAGCGTTAGCTGACAACATCCCAGTTACAGCCCATGGTGTTTCCTGGTCAATAACAGGTTTTTTAGATAAAGTTGTTTTTAAAGACGCTAATCATGTTTATATCACACTTAACGCAGGGGTGTGCAACCTTTAGGTTTAAAAATAAATGGTTACAACTTAATGACGTTTGTAAAATGCTCTTGACTCTTTAAATAAAAACAAGTTAGTTTTTGTTGTGTTGAGATACTGTATTTTAAAAAAATGTTAGGATAAAACCAAATGTAATTCTACATAAGGACTCAACACATATTTGGGCATAAAAGTCTTTAAAAAATACAAATATAGGTGCTTTTAACTGCTAACAGTTTATTAGATTCAAGCCTTTTTTAGCCTAAAAAATATGTGAATAAATATGAAGTTTTGTTGGATTAGCAGAACAACTGTTGTTGGAAAGTTTTTTAACACTTGGAAAGTATTTTAGGGGGAAAAAAAATCAGCCTCACATTTGTTTTTGTTTCTGCTTTTATTTATTTATTTGGGTGCAGTCAATAAAGATCGACTTATTTTTCATTTAGTCAGAATTTGTTCCGGTGCTCTCCTGCCCTCACAGTAACTTCACTGAACTCTCGTGTTTCATTTTAATCCCATATTTATTACATCATAAAATAGTTCATTCCTCACAGTAATGGCTGTTCTTTTTAGCTTTTACTTCTAAACTTTTGATTTTTATATTAGCATACAAGGTGGTGCCCCGCTTTTCTATTTTCGAGCATCTGAGATGCAGTTCAACTCCCCTCAGCAGAGGAACGTCTTCCCCGGCCAGAGTTAGACGGACTGGGCAGAGGTTTCAGGGACTGAAGCAGCATCAGTAGTGAATGCAGAGGAAAAAAGAGCAGCGGTTGAAGAGTTAAATATCCGACAACTCTTGGCTGGAGCGGGGGATTTGGACTCATGAATAACAGGTTTGGAATGAAATGGGTTTGTGATCTGAAACAATAGCATCCCCAATTTCCAGATTAACCACAGATAAACCGTGAGACAGAACTAAATCAAGTGCATGGCCCCGTTGATGAGTTGGACCAACAACATTTTGCACAAGGTTGAAAGATTGGATCAGATTTAGAAACTCCTGCACCAAAGGCTTTTCAGGACAGCAAACATGTACATTACAGTCTCCCAGAATCAAGACCCTGTCGTAATTGAGCAGTATTCCAGTCAAAAAGTCAGAAACTTCACTTATGAAGTTTTTGTTGTACGAGGGTGGTCTGTAGATCAGGCTGCACAGTGTCGGGTTGGAGCGGCCCCGCTCAAAATACAGCAGTTCAAAACTCTGAAAAGTTACAGCCTGTAGCTGTCTGCAGTTCCAGAGCTTTTTAAAAACTGTTAATAATCCACCACCCCTACCAGAAGTCCTTGAAGCATTAAAAAAGGCACAATCCACCGGCAAAAATTCAGAAAAAACACCAGGGACGAGCCAGGTCTCTGTAACAAACATGATGTTCAGTTCATTGGAGCAGAAAAAGTCGTTTAAGATGAAGGTTTTATTGGTCAGCGACCTCACATTCAGCAGAGCAATCTTTGTAGGACTAGTAGCTGAAGGAAAATCTGAGCACAGATCAGCTGTTTTAGATTTTTAGAGTTTGGACCGCGCCTCCTAGGACCAGAGATGCCGCAGCTGTGCGCGCGCCCGCGGTGCGAGCCAGGCTTGACTACGGGGATCAGGCAGGACCCAGCAGGATCAGCGAAGCACACGGTCATGCGAATATCCAGTAGATGGTCGGCAGGAGATGATGTAGCAGACAGTTTGAAGTTGGTTAAGTTCCACTGGAGACGAGCAAAACTGCCGCGGCTGTGCGCGCGCCTGCTGCGCACACTAGGCCCGGCCACCTGTAGCAGGCTGGAGTTGAGCGGATCAGCGAAGCAAGGCGGGGTTTGCTGTAGATGACTATATTTAAAAGTTGTGGGCTATCATAAACGAGCAGTGAGTTGATGTCACCGAAGAAAAATGACAAAAACAAACAAAAAAAAAACCCGGATCAAAACAGACAGGGGTGAACAGCAAGCCACCAGCACCGGCGCCATCTTCCCGGAAGTGTTCCCGGAATGTGAGGCGGGTCTTATTACTCTGGGTTCATGAAACACGCCTCCGTTCTGGAAATCCATTCCATAGTTTGAAGCTGGCAGGGACTCGCATGTGGAGATGTTTCAGCAGACACAGACATGCATCATGGATCGGAAATCTCTGCAGGTTGGATCAGAAAAATCCGATACGTAAATTATGCTGGTATCGGAGGCTGATACCGATACCGGATCGGATCGGCCCCATCCCTACCTGAGACACCAACGAACTGCTTAATAATAATAATAATAATAATTAAAAATAATAATTTCAGGAGCAGTAATCAGAGTTTCAATCTTAAAAAACTCACTTTTTTGAATGAGCATTAGAGCTGGATATCATCAGCATAAAGCTGACATTACAAATTTTTATACAGGAGAATTACCTGTCCAATGGGGAGGATATAAAGAATAAATAAACTGCGTCCCAAAACAGTACCCTGAGGTACACAAGGTAATCTAGCACTTAAAAAGAAAGTAGAAATTTATTATACCGGTAAACTCTTTTTTACATTCTGAACAACTTTGATGACAATCTGTTGACCCAAAAGAGTTTTTTGAAGTCTCAGAATTGGGAAGATTTGATCTGAATAGGTTGTTAGGAGAAATTTTCCTATTTTTTAGTTCTTCAGAATTACAATAGCTTTGTACTGCCCATCTAATTTGAAACAAATGTATATACAGTGAGGAAAATTAAGTATTTGAACACCCTGTGACTTTGCAAATTCTCCCACTTAGAAATCATGGAGGGGTCTGCAATTTTCATCTTAGGTGCATGTCCACTGTGAGAGACATAATAAAAAAATAAATAAAAATCTGTAAATCACAATGTTTGATTTTTAATAATTTATTTGTGTGTTACTGCTGCAAATAAGTATTTGATGGGGTATAACGGTACGCTAAAATCACATTTCGGTTCACTTTCAGGGAGGGCTCCGTTCGGTTCATTTTCGGCACAAAAAAAGGCCAAAATAAAGAGTTACAAAATGTTTATTTTGAAAATATGCCAAGTAAACAATACGTTTGTATAAAAATAAATAAAAGCGACCCATTTGGATGATATTTTAAATAAACAGCACTCTTTACAATAAATAAACTATACTAACAATTAGGGCTGCAACTAACGATTATTTCAATAATCGATTCATAGATAGCTGCTTGTTGTGGTGTCCATGATGTCTGTCCATCATGAACTGTTGTTTTTTTGTTGTTGTTTTCTGGAATGAGAGTAAATATGTATTATTTCATAATTTACAGCAACTCAAGAAATGCCTTGTTTCACTTACAGTGTTAGGTTCAGGCAAAAGTAGCTAAAAGAGCAATTAAACACACACACACACATATAAAATACTTAATTACACACATTTGAGTAGATGTAATAAAATACTTTAATTCCTGTTTAAATGCAATTCATCCTGCCATACCTGCAGTGTCTTCAGACTTTGCCAGCAAATTAAAAGTTGAAGCTTAATCATTAAATTATTATCTTTGTTTTAGATTTATTTATAAATCACATTTAAACACTGCTTGTACCAATTAAATTAAATTAAAAGTAACACACGTTCTCTGTCACCGTCATTAATCAGCAAACAAACAAACAGCAGCTTCAGCTACAGACAGACTGACGTTACGTTTTCTCACTTGGAAACAGAACAATGTGTTAAATTGTAGAGACTCACCTGCAACATGAGTTGGGAGTAAGTCGAGTTGTATCAGCTGCAGCTCCTTCTTCCTCCTCGTGACTCCGACATGTTTATGTTTCATCTCCTTGGTTCTCCCGTGTCGTGTCGTCATTTTTCAAAGCTGCATGCTTCTCAGTTTTTATCTTTGTGAAGAGCTCCCACACTTTGTAGGACTTGGGTCGACAGTTTTCTCTGCGTCGGTCATTTGTAAAATTGACTTAATTTCCTTTGAAAACAGCCTCTGCTCTGCTTCCGCCTCCCTCCTCGCTCTGTTCAACTTGCGATGCAGAGTTTTTTTTTTTTTAACTTTATTCAGTCAGTCAGCATTGACAATGAACTGCCAGTGAACAAAACGGCTCCGCAGCGCTGTGAAAGACGCATAATCGCACGACACAATGAATCAATAATGAAATTTGTTGCCAACACTTTTAATCATCGATTTTTATCGATTTTATCGATTCGTTGTTGCAGCCCTACTAACAGTAATAAAAATCTTAATAAATACAGTAACAGTCAGAACCAGAACAATAAGCAGCAACAGACTGTTTACAATCTAACTAGTCAAGTTTTAAGTTTTTGGCCAAAAAGACAAACTTGTCCACATTTTCTGCCAAAACCTTAGATCTAGTTGCAGTGAATATCTCCAGCAGTGGATAAAACCTCTCACTAACAACAGTAGCAGGTATAAAGAGGTAGAGCTTTGCTAATTTTGCAGTGTGGCTGGATTTGGCCTCATCATTACTCACAGCCTCTTCTTGGACCTGCTCCCTCAGGTGGGACAGGTCCCTGGAAAAGTTCAGAGTTCACTCATCACAGACTTCTTA